TTGAAATAATAATTAAGTCACGATTAATCTTGAATTACATAAGACACAATTACGTAATATCATAAATTCCCATGAATTTTTCACCAATTGAAAAACGTACATTTAACATCTTTCGATCTCTCGTTTATGGGGAAAACTAATTTCGGGCTTAACGATATTTCAAGAAATGGATAAATCTGATAATTCACCGTTGACTTTTAAACCATCGACTGGAAGGGGTTGAGAGCAGTTTCTTGTTCCGAGAATGGAGAGAGACGTTGTGTTGTTGCGTTTTCTTCGAGGGCCATTTTCCAAGAATCCTCGAGAGAAATTGAAGAAATCCGGGGGTCTTAGGCGCTCGTTTCGAAAAGTTACGTAGGATCTTGTAATTGGAGACAGACGTAGAGCAATATTCTCGAATTTCGTTTAGAATTGACGGGAGGATGGTATGTAAATTGGAATTAGGTAAACTGTATCGCGGCATTTAATCATGGAACGGTTTGAATTATTATACCGTCCGCCAAAGTTGCAACTTTGGAGAGAAACGTTGCGTAATTGTATCGCACGAGTATCGTAATTCGTATCGCGCGAAACATTATTAATCGTTATAATTCAAAGTGTGTAAGTCGGTTGCTGGCAAGTTCGGTCGAGGTAGTGGTTGGCTACCAAATATCGTTCTAATTTATTTCTCTTTCTATTTTTGGCTCATCTATCCGAGAGATAGCATGATCAAATCGGATTAAAACGGGGAATAGAGTTGAAATCTGTGTCACAAGAATATTACAAATTCTTATGAATTTTTCACGAATTGGTTCACATTTAACCGGAGTGTCGCCACTCGTCTCGTTCCATCTTTATTCATCGATATTCCTTTGCCGTTGAAATTCCTTTCTTTCCCTTTTCTTGGAGCTCCTGCTAGCTTCCTAGCTCGCAATGCTTTTCTTATCGTCGTTCCGCTCTATCCTTGCGATTGCTTTCTCTCGTAATCCCGTTACAACCCTCCCTTATGTTTTAACACTTTTGTATTTATTGAAATTCCTCCGTTCTTCGCAATATTCGACGAAGCTTCGATTCTCAGCCTGCCAGAATCGATAGAATTCTTCCTCTTCGCAATATGAGAATATTTTTCCAAGTTTAAAATCTCATCGAGTGTATGAAATGTATATATATATATATATATATATATATACTCAAATAAGTATTTCTCCAGGGAGGTTCACAACGTCTCGAAAACTATCTCGCAAAAAAATACGTTTCCCAATAATCAAAGGTTAGGAAGGCATTTTTAAAAAAATCGATACCCTTTAAAACGAGCTCTAATTGTAACGAAGCTCGCAATTGTTTTAATCGAGATATTTCGATTAGGAATTATCGTGGAAATTGGAGAGCAAGAAGGACAACGATTCTCGGATAAACGGAACGCGCTAGTTTCCTATCGAGCCGCATTATGGTTGTTTTTTTTTTTTCTCATAGAGGCCTTGGCGTGTTCGCACGCACTCGTCGATTCCAAGCGGTATTTTCGCTCAGTTTCTGGTATTATATTCTGGTATATTATACAGAGAGAGAGAGAGAGAGAGAGAGAGAGAGATTGTAAAATGGTATTTGCCGGGTTAAAGTAATTTCATCCACGGAACGCGAATAAAAAATTATCGGGTCATGCATCGCATCGGGAGGGAGGGTGAAATTTTCCAGTTAAAATCCGTCGTAAAAGGGTGAAAGTAGAAGAAATAGTAATGCGTTTCACTGTTAAGAAGGGAGGGAGGGGGGAAAGGAGGAAATCGCCGCATAATGAAATTCATCGGTGAGCGCAAGCGTGGGATTATTAATTATTCAAGCTTTGGTCGAATTAGTGTCGAGGTTCACCAGTTTAAAATTCATAAAGAATTCAGATGCGTTGCAGGAAATAAGCGGAATGAAAAAAACGCGGATCGCGTTTCATACGAAATCGCACGCGAACGCGAGCCGAGCCTCGTTGCAAATTCTTTCAACGCATTATCGTGCGATTATGGTGGGATGAGGCGCAAGGAGGCGAAAATTGTGTGATTCGTTGATTCGAAGACGAATACTTTAACGACCGACCATTCGTTTAATATCCGATTCAAAGAAGTAAACCGAGGGGAAATTATATATGTCCCCCCCCCCTCGTTTCAACCTTCGATTAAATTATTCTCTTTGATCCATCACCTCCCCGATAAAAACGTCGCAGAACGATCACTTTTCAAACATCTTATTCTTTTATATCTCTTTTTACATCGAGTTCCAACTGCGATGCGACGTCGAACGACGTGGAATTATTTGTCGCCAATTTTATTTATTTATTTATTTATTTCGAGATATTTGCGATAATCAAAACCGAGCCTTCCTCGATCGAGAACCACTGTAAATGAATCCAAGGAAGAGAGCGACCGTGCAACCGCGCGACAGCAATTTACCACTTTTTAGACATGTAAATTCCTTGAACCCTCCCTCCCAACAATGGCGTGCAAACGCCGCAAGGTAAAGTTGCGCCGTTTGAAAAGAGAGCGCGGCTGGCCGTGGGGCGGGGGGTTGAACCGGGGGTGTGGAAAAAGAAAAAAAAAAGCGTAGTCCATTATGTGGATCTATTTGTATTAGGAAATCACTCTGTCAACACCGGGGAGGATCGATCGTCAGGGTTGGCCGGGGTTGGTCGTTCGAAAACGGTTTGGCGAACGCCATAGACAAAATCTAACGTGTTTCGAACTCGATCGCGTTTCGGGGCGAGGGAATTCGCTATCCTTACGTAAGTTTTGAGAATACGGGTCGATAATTTTGTGACGATGAGAAAGGGGGAAGAGAGAGAGAGAGAGAGAGAGAAGAATAATTTCTTTTCACTTACGTCGCTCACCCCTTCCGGGCTGGCAATCGGCGCTATCCTTACGCTATCCTTAAATAAAGGTAAAACGTCAAGGGATACGGAGGAGGTGGAGAGGAATATTCGTCCCGTTTTTCTTTCTCTCAAATGATGATACATTCGTTGCTACATCGCGTTCAACGCATTGCGCAACCGAGTGAAATAAACATCGAACGAAAGATCGGTAGGACGGGTCTAACCGAGTCTAAAATTCTGCAAAGATCTGGTAAATAATCTCTCGAGATAATTTAAACAAGCATCGCGAGACGAACGTCCGAAACGTCAGCCAACGAGACAATCGTTTCGCGATCGCCTTTGATGTATCCTCCATCCTCTACATTCTTCTTCTTTTTCCAACGCACGAAACGTACAGCCGCGACACGAAGACTCGCGACTTCCTCTAACGGAATTAACCATCGTATCCCCTCGTTTCCATCCCCTCGGTGCATACAAATGGCTGTTGCAGACACGATTCTGGAGAGAGAGAGAGAGAGAGAGAGAGAGAGAAAAGGGAGGAGTTGTTCCACCCTTGTGAAATATGTACGCCAACGGGTATATCGTTACGGGGAAGGAAAAAGAGAGAGAGAAAGAGAGAGAGAGTTCCACGCGAGGGAAATTCTCATTACGCGTTCGAAATGGTTGGAAATGTTCCAAACGAAACTACCCTGAACTTGTCCCCGCTGTGAACAACCGAGCCAATACAACCGCTCCTCCTCTATCCATTTTCGAATGGAGGTTGCAATCGCCCGGCACGAAAATTTTTCCAGACACGGGATCGATACACACACACATACACACACACACACTATTTCCGACGAATTAAACACACCCTTTCGCCGTTTCCGGGTTAACGCGGCCACGCTGTTGTTCCGCTGCTGCAATCGGATCTGCCCCCTTTCGTGCCCAATTATCGGAGACGTCGGATTTCCCATCCAATCGCGTTTGAACGTTCGTTGGAAAAGTAGGGGCCGATTGTTGCGCGGAAACTTTGGGATCGAAAACTTTGGCTCGAACGAGGGATCGAAATTTCAAAAAGCAGGAAGAAGTGTTGTTGCGTTTTCCACGAAAACGTTTTCCTTCCGAGGGATTGCGTTGCGCGAGTCGAGGCAGCACGGTTTGAGGTGGCTTAACAAAACAAAGTCGAAAGTTTGTTCAAAGTTGTCGCGTAATACGCGGTGTCCCTCTGCCCTCCCCCCCGTCACCCTACGTCACCCTATCGCCCCGTCAATTTTCGTATCGATTGCCAAGTCTGACCTAACACTGACACACTTCACTCGCCAAGTCTGACCTCTGCCACGTATCGATCGTAATCTCACGATTTCTACGATTCATGGAACACGTGGAACATTTTCCCCGTTTTCGGTATCGAGACATACGTCGACCGGGAGAGAAATTTATCATTGTTCAATGAAGGGGGGCGAATAAAGCTCATCGACGTCGCGACGACGAATAAAATCGATCGTTAAACGTTGAAGGAGAAAAGGGGATGGAGCAAAATGTCAGTCGAACGTTTCTCGAACTGCACACAACGAAGAGATGTTAACGCGTTGTTCGATTTTTGGTGGGGAGGCGGAGAAGAATATGGATCTTGGGATGCATGTTGATGCAACCGTACACTCGATTTCAGAATTGCATTTCCCTTTCTTGGTAGAATTTCTTTGGAAATGTATCGCTGAAGGAGGAATTGGAGGAGGAGTTGGTACTTACGATTAAAGAATAGGAATATCCTTGGATCTTAATAAGAGGAGAAAGAGAAATCTAAGGGAGAATTAGCTCGCGATACATGGAGAGTGGAAATTTCGAAGGACGTTTAAACCATTTCTCTCCCCTTCCCTCCGCTCGCTGATGAAAATCGAACTTTCGAGAACTACGTGAGTGGAATACACGCTTCGATTTCGTTATCACTTTGGAGAGGGCGTAGCTTTGAGGGATAAATATATTCGAATATATTCTATTTCGTTGGTAAAGTTTCGCTTCTAGTGAGATATTTCCCATACTTTTCTTTCTTCCCTTTTTGTATCGGATTTTAAGCGGCCGAAGAAATTATCCGCTATCTAACGAAAAGGTATTTCTGGTATCTTTTAATGGTTAATCGGGCATCGAGCGAGTGTTCCATTCATCTAATGGAAGGATCGTCTGTATTTTCCAGCCCACTAACATGTGGTTCACCTACAATGATGGAATCTTGGGGTCCTGGGAGGACTGGCACACCCCCGCCTGCTCTTCCACCCCCTCCAGCTGGGAGCAACAATGGTGGTGCAACGTCTGCAGCAACCGCAACCGTTGCACAGCCCAGCACAACCGCGCCGATTGCCAGCCCGGAAGGGGTGAGCGACGTAAGTGAAAAGAAATTATTCTTCTCTCTCTCTCTCTCTCTCTCTCTTCCCCCTTTCTCATCGTCACAAAATTATCGACTCAAAGCTTACAAACCAAAACGACGATCGAATTGTTGTTGGTTTAACGTAGAAAAAGAGAGAGAGAGAGAGAGAAAAATATCCTCCCTGTTTCTTCTTCTACAGGAAACTATATCGCTCTCGATAACGGAGAAGAAATAGAAACTTTTTGGTATACATTACAGTAGGCTCGAAACGCGCAACGCGAAATGCAAGGTTACGACGCCGCGCAAAGGTCGGACTAATGGCGCATACCTAAGTTGCACAATTGGGGCGGGAGTGTGGAGAGTCGTCGGGGGCATCGGGGATGGAACCACCCGTCGCGCCAACTCCTTCCATCCATTTCAATTTCACAAGCATCCACCCAAGTGGTGGGAGGGTGTGACGGACGTTGGTCGCGCTATCGAACCGTGCTAACCGAATCGTCCCCCATTCCCACGAGCATCCGCCAATTTTCGCACCCTCTCTCCATCCGATCTCTCTCCATCCCCCTCCTCCTTCATCCTCCCTTCATCGTCGCCTCCGCGCTTTTCATCAGAAATTTTTATATATAATTTTTAATAGAACTCGTTCGAAATTCACTCTCCGTCCCGCGCGCGTTTGCTATGGAAGAAACAAAGAAAAATGGGCGCGTTGGTAATACGTACACACTCGTTGCTTCGCTCGCCCAATACGTTTCGTCGTAGCGAGCCTTAGCCTTAAACCCTAGCCCTCAACCCCGAAGGCCCCCTCTCCCCTCCCTCCTTCCCTCCCTCCCTCTCTCTCTCTCTCTCTCTCCTGTCCCCCCCACGGGTAAATTCAACCTGATCGCGTGCACCCGCTTCAAAACACGTCCGGTATCGATCGTGTCGCAGGAGTGTACGCGATGCTAACGATATTCCAGCCGTGTTGTCACGTGAAACGGAAGTCCGAGTCAAGGGTAGAGCTATCTACGTTCGACCAACTCCCCTTTCTGTACACGTGTATATATATATACACAATACACAAGTAGATCCAACAAACCGCATTTCCATATCCATTTTGTTGTCGTTGCTGTTGTTGAAAAATTTGATTTCACGATTACGATTAAGTGAAAGTCGAGGGCTCGACGTGTCGATACGATTCCGTCTATCTATTTTCTCGTCTCGTTTCTCCTTCTTCTTCTCCTCTCTTTCTTTCGCGTTTTCCAGGTCTCCCAAAAGTCTGGAATTTGGGAGGGGGCGAACTTCTCGGCGGCCGGTGGCGCGGAGGGGCCTTCCCGAAGCGTGTCGCATGCGGCGAGCTTGGACGCGATCTCGAGGAGGGCGGTGAAACCGGATACGGCGAGGGTGCCGTGTCGCAGCCTCACCTGCAGCGTTTGTAAGTAACTGAACGTAACCTCCACCCCACCCACACCCCCACCCCATTGCTCGTTCGCTCGTTTCCTGTTTTCAGTTTCTCTTTCTTTTTCTTCCACCCTCCCCTCCAACCCTGTTTCTCTCTCTCTTTCTCTGTCTCTCTCTCTCTCTCTCTCTCTCTCTCTCTCTCTCTCTCTCTCTCTCTCTCTCGGTATTCCGTGGTATTTTGCCTATTGACATGTCAGCTCGAGCTTTTTTTCTCTCTCTCTGTGAAACGGCGGCTTTCCTTTTTTATTTCTTTTTTTTTTTTCTTTATAAACAACGGTCGATGACGTTCTTTTTTTTAGGTATTGCATTATTCGCCCCGCCCGTGTCCCCAACCCCCCTGTGAACGACACGGGACGACAGGGGCGACACGGGTTCGCTTTCAAACCACGATCACGATCGTGGTCGCGACCGAGATCGTGAAAGGGGGGGGAGGGGAGGAGGGAGGGGGGGCGAGAGCGTAGATATATATATGTATATCTATTCGTTTCGCTCGTTTCGCTTTCGCAGAGAACGTGTGTGCGCGTGTGCGTGTGCGTGTGTGTACGCGTGTGTGTGTAAACGCCTCGAATGCGGATGCAGCTATTGCGGCGAAATTGCAATTAACGATGTACAACGTAATAGTGTCGCATGCGATGTTTCGTATTCCCCGACCGTTGACAGATAGTTGCCGTGCGTGTCTCGCGGAACTCGCGAGAAAGCTTTCGCGTGACGAAGTTTGTCACGAAGCTTCTTCGCCTCGGATCGAATATCTGAATATAGCGTGTAGAGGAAACGAAATGTTTGGTATCGAAAATTTTTCTTTTTTTTTTTTTTTTTTTTTACGATATATAAAAACGAGCGAACGACGAATAAATTTTATCCAATTTAATCGTCCCCTTTGCGATATATTTTTCTCGTATGGATGTTGGTTGGAATATTATTAAAACTTCGCTATCTGTCAACTGTCGAGAAAAGCTGAGAACGAGTCGAAAGAACGCGTTCCACGGCCGAGCGTGTTGCGCCTCGGTAAAACGGCGCGAGTTGGCGCCTGTTGACCGAGCGCAACCCCCCTGTTACTACCCTCGAAGTGAGCGTCGAACGGAACCGGCCGTGCGTTATCCATCGATCAATCTTCCCTTCCTTCCCCCCTCCCTAGTCCCCTTTGAATCCTCCTGAATTATTAGGCGCGATTATCCCACCTGGCCCTCCATTCGGATCAGGCGTGACCCTCGATCAAAAAACGAACAACAATATAAAAATCCAAAAGTCAAACAACAGTGAACGTATTTTAGTAGCGGGCCGAGGGAGCGAACACGTCACCCTCGAGCGACGACCAGCGACAGTCGATAATCTCACGGAAGGTAAAACAGGATGGTGCAGCCCGTCTGCCACCCCTTTTCGTTTTTTCTTTTTAACCGACCGAGCGCCGGCGAGTTTGCACCCCTTTTACAACTTACCAAGCGCTTGCGGCTTCTCTTTTTTTTTTTTTTGGTCATGAGCTTTTTCCACAGATAACGTAACTCGTTGTCCGATTCAGCTTTCATAGGCCTGTTTTCTATATTGCCTCCATTATGTATTACTATACATATATATATATACCGCTCTTATTTACTCGTTTACATTCTCTCTGTATCCACGTCAAACTCTCTTTCCTTTTTTTTTTTTTTTTTTTNTTTTTTTTTTTTTTTTTTTTCTTTAGCAACGCATCACCTTCCCACCCCTCCTTTTCCCTTTTCCTCCTCCTCCTCCTCCTTGCCATTTCTCTTCTCCTTCTCTCGTGTACCACTTGTACTGTTTACAAGACGAGCACCGTAGCATCGCTCGGTCAGCCATTTTGTACTCCCCCGCCACGAAATTTAATTCAACATGCAAGATTCTTTAAAATGAAATGAATCGTTTCACGCGGAGGATTACGTGGCGAAGCGTGACGAGGACGAATCCTCGTCGAGGCGGGATTATCTACGGAGAGAATCTATGGAGTACGGAAGGCTGATCGAAGCATGAGAGCTAACGAACTTGTTAATTACGCTTCTCTATCACGCGATGGGACAAAGAAATTGGCTGAATTTCTTTTTTTTTTTCTTTTCTTTTCTCTTTATCTCACGGCTTTCTCTTCATCCTGTCTTTCTTTTCAAATGAATTATATCGTTCGATTTCCGGATAAGTTTTTTCCTATACATTATATTGGGAAATAGTCTCGAGGAGGGAGATCACGGTCGACTACAAATTGTGTCATTGTACAAATCATCGTGTTAGAATGGAGATTTCCCATACTTTCCTGTCTTTATGTCTATACATATACATGTCTATATACGTACATATATATTATAAATATATATATATATTTATATACACATATCATCTTGCAGAAAGTAGAAATTATCGCATTGTCATCTCTATGAATTAATTACACGGTCATTTTTTACAATTAAACGATCTTTCTTTCACAGGTATGCAGCTTTTAGTGCAGAATTGACTAACCCAATAACGAACACACTATTTCAACGCTTTTAGATCGAGATATAGGCTCGGTTGTTTCGTTTTCCTTATTTATTTATTTTTTTTCTTTCATTTCTTTTCACCCTATTTTCTTCTTATTCCGTAAATATACACCGTACGTAGGCTCTATATCTTTTCCACCACTCTCTTCTTTTCTCTGTTTTTTATCTTTCTACTCTACAGTAATGAAATTCCTTTTGTTGGAACCGTTATTATTTTTTTTTTTTTTTTTTTTGTAAAATAGACAACTTGAATTTATCATTCGAGATATGTGTGCTTAATATTATTTTGATCGTATTTTAGAAAATAGTGCGTGTCGTTGTAATTGATTTGATTAGCACAAGACAAAGTTTATTCAGACATGGATAAGCGAGTTTGATTCACGCCATTCTTTCTCTTCAGATCTTCGTACAATATCGTTTTCTCTTAGACCCGATCGATTTTTCTTTCTTTCTTTCTTTCTTTCTTTCTTTCTTTCTTACGCCTCGAAAGCTTTGACAAGTCAGAAAAAAGAGGAAAAAGATTGTATTGTGCACCGAAGTTTGGCAAATTGTTATTACGCGCGAAACGTATATACAGATTAGTAAGCCAGATCTATAATCACTATTACCAATAATTTTTTCCGAGACACCGTTGGATAGTTTTGATTTTAATCGAGCCTGTATTTCACACAGTATAGTTTTGATAATAATAGGATAATCGAATATAATCGTGAAACACGCGAAACGAGTGTCTCACATTTCCCGCTACTGATACCGATATTTCTATTTCTAGCAACTAAACATTCGAAAATCTTTCCCGGCGTTGCGTCCGAAAGTGACTTGCAAAAATGGCGGATGTCCAAGGACCGGAAGTCGCCATCCCTCAGCCAGATGGGGCCAGATTCCATCAAACACAAAGTGAGCAAACCGATCCGATCTGTTAATTTAATTTTTTAAAGAAAAGAAAAAAAAAAAAAAAGAAAAAGATCTTAATTCTTGATTTTCGTGTTGCAGTTCTCCTTGCAGGACAACGGGTCCGCGAAATACTTCCAAGGAGCGATGCACACGTCGAACATGGGAGAAAAGGTAGCCCAGGTAAGCCACGATTTCCGCAAGGAAATTCCAATGGGATTTCTCTCTCGATCGTCAGCTGGTCGGATTGAGTTCACGAAAGCCGTGAAACCGGGTAGGGATTATCGAAAAGTTGGGCGAAAGTCGGATGGTGCGAATTTATATGCAAACCTCGTGTCCTCTCTGTCTTGGAACTTTGGAGCATGGGGGGAATATTCTCGGTGAACACGAGTCCTTTCGACTTCTATAATAAACGTCGCGTTATCGTGGCGGATGCGAGTTTTTCCGAGGGAAAAGAAAATTCCGATTCAGAGACGAGACGAAGAAATTTCTTCGTCGTCCTTTAATCTCTTTCCTTCTTTTTCTTCCTCGCCGCCCTTTTTGAATTCTTGACACGAGGCGGTAGAATTATCATCGTTCATCGTTCACCCAGAGAAAACTTTTAATTCTTTTTGGAGGGAAGTTTTGCATTAGATTAGAAAAAATTTTCCTCGTAAGAAGGATGTTTCTTCGAAAGTAAAATCTTTTCCTGGCTGGTTTTTTTTTTTTTTTTTTTTCTTTAGAAGAGGTGATGAGAAGACGAAAAGAGAGTTTTCTTATTCAATTTAGAGGGAAGACGAATTTAATTTTTTAATAAAGCAACGAAGATCCAAGGATGCAAAGTTTCACGGAATAATCGTCCGAGACCAAGCGAAACGTTCTACGAAGCTTTTGTTTCCGACACGGTTTATTTTTGTCTCGTAAATGTTGTTTCTTCGGTAAGCCTCTTTATTAAACGTGGAATATTTTCGAATGTTTAGCGTTATTCGTGCGGTTATTCGTATGCGCTCCCCTATTCCACCTCGTGGCCTCGTTTGATCGACATGCACCGCGTCCATCTCCCAGGCGACCGCATACCGTTGTCCGGCATATTTCATCTTGCATCACTGAAAATGGAAGATCTCCATATTTATCTTTCGCGATCGAACTCCTTTTCACCCAATGAAATTTCCAATATTCGTATAGACTGTGAACGATCGATATATTAATTCTAATAACGGACAGATACAGAAATAACGATTCGTATTTTCGAAAAGCGAGCGGATCCGAATCGAGGATCCGTAGAGTTTGAAGGAACGCTTTATCCGTTGGCGTTGGCGGGGACCGTGTAAGGATGGTATAAATAGCGAAAAGATAATGTTGGATTATATCTATCTGCCAAGAAATTTCGTTTCGCAGAGGAGAAAAGGGGGAATTCTATGTAGGTCATTTAAAATGCTTGATGTACCCTTGCGTTGTTTTATCGATCACGTGCAATGCATACATTACCTTTTATATTACATCCTACTACCTGTTCTCCCCGATAAACATCTATATTTATTCTTCGGGGGTGAAGGAATGAATATTTTATAATGCATCAAACGCGTGTTACGTGTTATTTCAAAAAAAAAAAAAAAAAAAAAAAAGAAAAGAAGAAAAGAAGAAAAAAAGAAAAAGAAGAAAAAGGAAAAAAGAAAAATGCATAGCGTAGGAACGCAAGTTATTTTTCCGAGGAAAAATACTGACCCAGTATCGCTATTTATAGTTTCTAGGTCTCGTAGAAGAGCGATACAGTTGTTTCGAACGAAATTCACAGCATTGTTGCCAATCATGTGGCAGAGTGGTAGAGACGTTTATCATGACACCCCCGTGGTAACGCGGCCCCGGCTGGCGCCAATCAGTCTGCGCCGCAGTCGCCGGGGGCGGGAATACCCCCGCAATCTGGATTTCCACAAATTGATGCCGATTTTATGCCGCGTTCCCTTACCTCTCGAAAAATTCGCAAATTTTCCTCTGTCGTTTCGCCCTCTTCCATCCTTTCACGTGGGAAAAGAAAACGAGTATCTGAATAAAATATTTTAAACGCGATTTCAATCTCTTCCCGGATAAGATTTAAATTAAAAGCAAGCTAGAAAACAAAAATAATAATAATAAACGACACGAGAAGATGGAATCTCTTGATTTAAAAATTAAACACGATTGTTATGTAAAAATTATATAAATGGTTGGTGATATTTGAAATTATCACCACCGTCTGTCTTAATTAATATTCCAAGCGAGATCCTATCCGAGTGAATTCTCGCCGAGAGAGGTGACGATTCTATAAAAATCGATATCATATCGGAGGGGTTCACACGACAGGTTGCCGAATAATTTATAACTCTCGTGGGACGAGAGGAGGGAGGGAGGGTAAGAAGAGTTGACTCTCGCACACTCCCCCGTGTGAATAAAGATTTCGGGGGGGCAGTTCTCGTCTCTCGACGACGAACAAGTGCCGGCATATACTTTGCACGCTCTCGTCATTGCTTTTCTCCTCGGCCGAGGATCGGATGGATGGATGGATGGATGGATGGATAGAGAGAAGCCCACTCGATCGGTCTCTCCTTAGGGACCGCCGGCCTTTAAACATTTTCCTTGTTTGAAATACCGGCGACGCCTCGTAGCCGACACGACGCTTATCGACTTGTAGAGGGTCAAATGTCGTCTCGAGACTTTCAACTCGTCGTGGAGAAAGAGCTCGTTCGACACGAATAACACGTTTGGCACGTATTTACAAGCACGTATTAAAGTGATAAACTTGATTTTCACCCGTTTATGGATCATGAAAATAGAACAAAACACTCGATGCGTTTCGATGATTTTCGAGAGGGAGCTGGGAGTTTCGATATAGATATATGTGTGTGTGTGTGTGTGTGTGTGTGTGTGTATATGTTAATTTCACGACGATCGGACGTTCGCTGTTATATCGTTTGACGCCGATCGAATCTTTCCATCATCCCCTTAACCGAGTTTCCCAAAGTTTCTTTCGTGCATACGAAACTGGCGGACTAACTCTTTCGTAATCGATACGTATGGCCGCAGTTTTACGGGCAATTTTATCGCCTTAAGCGATGCGACGAGAGTCAGGAAAGGGAATTTATCATTGATAAAGGATGGCGAGTTTCTCGAATAAATTTGAAAAATGTTGCAACGTTACGTCTTCCTAAGTAGATCAATTACGTTATGGCAACGCAAAGTCTTTCTGGATGACGACAACCTTTTCTTTCCATCTTTCTTCCCCTACCACGTATAAAGGGAAAAAAGATTTTCCACTTTTTCACTTTGAAGACTCTTGGAACCGTTTCCTCGAAATCGCTTCACACTTTATCGGCTTAATAAATTGTGATAATATTTCTTAATGGTATCAATTTGTCGCGATATTCCTTCCTCGTGAATCTTCGATTCGATCGATGCGGAGACGGTTCGAGTCCGAAATGCGGACAGAATCGGTTTCTTCTTTCCCTCGCCCCGACGACATTCAATCGGTCAAGCTCGTCGTCGTTGCTGAAGCTATTTACATCGGGCGGGCTCGAAGCCGCCAATATCGATAACCGATACTGCGCCTCTTTTCCCCGTCACAGGTCTCGAGCAACGTTGTTACCACGATGTCGCGGAAACTATTACGCCGGATTAAAGACACGCCTATTGTTCCCGGCGACAAAGGGTTCCCCGATCTTCGGCAATTCCTTTAATAACCGCAGAAACAATCCCATTTGTCCCGTTGTTGAAAATTATTCGTCCCTCGAATCGAAGAGAAAACGAAATTCCACTGTATCGTAATGTTTTTAAGTAATTAAAAAAAAAAGGGGGAGGGGGATAAGACGATGCAATTCTATCTATTTGTGGGAACGTTTACGCTAATGATGTTTGTAAATTTTTCTCTTCTCATTTTTAAACATTGCATATATCGAAAATTTTGGTTTTTGGAAATTGTATATTCTTTTCAATTCTTTGATCGAGATTGCAGAGATTCTTAAATTATTTAATCGATGCGTTAAAAGAATAAGATTTTGCATAAGAAAAATGTTACACGCTTCGTTATAACGTCGAATAATCGAAGCGTGTAATGGGATAATCTTTGTAAAAAAAAAAAAAAAAAANAAAAAAAAAAAAAAAAAAGAAAGAAAAATAACCCCTTAAACCGCGTTTGTTATCCCTGAACCGTAAAAAATTGTCCGCGAAATTTAAAAGCTGGATTAATTAACTAGGAGATATTATCTTGTAATTACATCACTCTGAATAAAGATTGTCTCGAGTTAAAAGCGAGTGACAACATCGACAATATTGCTATGACAATGAAACAGCAATGGATTAAAGTGTGCAACAAGAAGGGAGAGACGAAAACCAATCCTCGAATCGAAGAAGAAGAAAAGATATCCCTCTCACTTTGAACCGACAGTGAAAAGGACAGTGGAACGAACGTTGCATTAATCGGACGACGGAGAAAAGAACAGTTAAAACGGTATAATCCCATAAAAATATAATAAAAATAGTTGTTTCAAAGAAAGAAAAAAGAAAAGACTGTGACAAATTTCCAACGAAGGGAAGAGACACACAATCTATATTAACATCTCTGGCCAGAAAGAATATCTCGATAAAACCCAATATCCAAGAGAAAAAGCAGAAGCAGAAGAAGGAGAAGAGAAGGGAAGAAAAAAGAAAGAAAAGAAAGAAAGAGGAGAGGGGAAGAGAAACAAAAGCAAAGAGGGGAGAGAGAGAGAGAGAGAGAGAGAGAGAGAGAAAGCGAGGCGATCCCGGAAGAAAGACACGGACGAGCGAGGGTGAAAGACGGATACACCGACGAGCGGTAAAAGAGAGAGAGGGATATATGGTATATAGCGTTGGCGTTGGTCGAAGAGAGAGGGAGCGATGGCGGAGGAAGGTGTGCTCGAGGGACGAGGCAAAGGAGGGGTGGCTGGCAGAGGCTCGCCGATAGAAGGCGCTATTGTCAGTGTCGCAGTATCCCCCGTCCTGCCCGGCAGGTTACACCGTCGCCACTCCGTCCACATCGAAGGAACGCAGAGAGCACATGTAAACGGTGAATTAATAAGACTGAAAAAAAGGCCGGGCTGCGCGTGAACGCGTGTTCCACGATCGAAGCGATCATCGTTTCTCGTCCAACGAGAATGGGGATGGCGCGCGTTTCATTTCCCGATGAGCGAAAAAGGGAGGTTGGATCGAGGGAG